TCTCGCAGGCATCCCCACGCCTCAGGCACGGGCCCGGCCTCTCGACAATGGAAGCCCCGCGTCGCCTTCAGCCATTTGCGTGGCTGATGATGCTGCATTCCGGCGCTGATTCCCGTCCGGCTGATGAGAGTGATCGCACCGTCTCCCGCACCCCGGCCGGGCTCAGTAGGGGGTCCTCGCCGAGTCCGGGGCGCCGCTGTCGCAGGGACGCTCTGCACACGGCTCCCAGAAGGGCCACAGGGTATTGCTGACTTAGCTTATTTTACCGGTTGGCGTTACGTAATTTGACATCGCGTGCTACGGTGTCTGTTCGCATTCGTTTGTGGATGGCGGAGCTCGTGTGCGGGCATTACGGCTGCCGTGGATCTTATATCGCGTGGCAGCTGGTGTTATCATAGTTATTATATTAACAGCAGCGCGCGCCGTGCTGGAGTCGCCTCGGCGTAACCAGTGGTGCCACATCGCTTCCTGTTGTTGGCTGATTTCGGGACAACTAACTTTGAGCTATGACATTGCGTTATGGATGTATGAGCGATCATTTACGGTGAAAGGTATCCACAACGTCAATGGTTTTTGCATCTTCCTGTCGTTTTCGGGTTATTAAAAAAGGCGGCGTTTGTAATGTGTGCCGTACAGAAATTATCGCAGCGCACGAATAGATCGAACAGGTCGCGGAAATCATGGTGTCAGGTGCCCAGTTCAGCGTTAATTCGTGCTCAATTCAAGGTTCAGACAGCACCGTTGACATCGCCCCCCTTTCCCCATCCTCCCATTTTCTCCCCTCCTCTCCTCGGTCGTACCGGCCCGTGCTCCAGCCGCCCTGCCATCCTCCCATTTTCTCCGCTCCTCTCCTCGGTCGTACCGGCCCGTGCTCTAGCCGCCCTGGCATCCTCCCATTTTCTGCGCTCCTCTCCTCGGTCGTACCGGCCCGTGCTCTAGCCGCCCTGGCGTCCTCCCATTTTCTGCGCTCCTCTCCTCGGTCGTACCGGCCCGTGCTCTAGCCGCCCTGGCATACTCCCATTTTCTGCGCTCCTCTCCTCGGTCGTACCGGCCCGTGCTCTAGCCGCCCTGGCATCCTCCCATTTTCTGCGCTCCTCTCCTCGGTCGTACCGGCCCGTGCTCTAGCCGCCCTGGCATCCTCCCATTTTCTGCGCTCCTCTCTCGGTCGTACCGGCCCGTGCTCTAGCCGCCCTGGCGTCCTCCCATTTTCTGCGCTCCTCTCCTCGGTCGTACCGGCCCGTGCTCCAGCCGCCCTGCCATCCTCCCATTTTCTCCGCTCCTCTCCTCGGGCGCACCGGCCCGCGGTCTAGCCGCCCTGCCGCGGCACTGCGCGCGGATTGGCCGGCTGCCGAGGCGGCAGAAGCCGAATAGTCCGCAGTGGACGTTTCCTGTGCTGTTTCCCTCATGCATCTTGTATGAGCTCAGCTTTAGTGAGGCAATCACTTGTCGATGCGCCCCTCGGTGCCAGGTGCTCAAGGGTGGAAGTGTCCGCCGCGCAGGGCAGGTGGTGGTGGTCGGCGCAGCTGTGGCGCCCTCGTGTGAAGTGTGGCGCTTAGATGGCACCCAGGTGCCTCAAGGCGTCCAGCATGGACACAGCAGTCGCCAGTGACGGCGCTGACACAGCAGTCGCCAGTGACGTCGCTGACACAGCAGTGACACGGCAGTCGCCAGTGACGTCGCTGACACAGCAGTGACACGGCAGTCGCCAGTGACAGCGCTGACACAGCAGTCGCCAGTGGCGGCGTTGACATAACAATCGCCAGTAACGTCCCTGGAGCAGCAATGACACAGCAGTCGTCGGTGACAGCGCTGACACAGCAGTGACACGCGTCCCCGGTCCTCTTCACTTCCGATATCTTCTTCAAACGCGCCGAAAGCCGCGTGCGCCGCGCATTCGCTAATGAGTCATAATCGCTGGGTGAGGTGGTGCCATCTGTATGTTAGGTTCGCGTGCTCTATTTCTTGTTGCTTTTTGTCATTTTTGTCGCGTGATTTGAGCACTCACTCAGTAGATTAGGTGCCAGCCTCTGGATGAACCAAGCTCCACTCTGTGTTTCCAGTACGATAAGTACAAGCAGGACCAGAAGAGCTACAACAACGTCAAGTACTATCCCAAGAACACTGGCAAAAGCTACAAGCACCAAACTATTGAGTGAATAGCTCTCTTTTTGCTCAGCCCCACCGTTGTTGGCACGCCTACTGCTCGAATGTGCGTATTTAAAGACGACGTGCAGTAACAACGCACGAGGTAAGCAAGCCAAACATACCCTTTGACCGGGTCACTTCATGTGAGCTCTTTTAACGAAAGAACGAAGGCCTTTTTTCACGTGAAATGCTCGACGTTTTGTAATATCTTGTCAAATCCCATTCAAGGTCTGCGGCCCAGTGTTCATATGTTAGCTTATTCCTTCTATTGCCTGATAGAAACAAGGTGACGCAGAGGATCGTCTAGGCTGAAAAGAATGGCTTAGAAATCGTTAAAACCAGATAACGGGTAGAAATTGACGTCGTGCAGTTGCAAGAACCGTTCTCGGGCCTCACCGCTGTCTCCACAAAAGTGGTCTTCCTGTCAGCAGGGGCAGCCCTCGCAGACTGCTTTTTTGTCTTTGGTAGTTTCGCCTCAGGCGACTTGTATTAGTGTGGCGCTCAATACTGCCGTCTGGATGGGGAGCCAATCGTGTCAGGCACATTGTGGTACTAGTTTCGCAGCCTTTATTGGTGCCCGTAAAGAACAAGCTGTCTCGTTGTTTGCTCGCTCCGTCGATGGCCCATTCCCCGTCGTTGAGTTTTGTATCCAGCTGTGTTGGCTTTCTCGCAGCAGCCCTGGCTTGCGGCGTGTCGTAATGTTTTCGGTGAAGCTCACACTCTGTATGACCTGCACGGATGCTGTGGCTTTGCTTGATTAATGCCGCGGTGTCTTCGTAAAAGCCAAATGCTGCTCGCCAGTCGACGATTTTGAGGAAAGCTGGGAAATGTGGGATTTAAAAACGAAGCGGATCGCTTGTTACAGGCGCAGAGTGCTCAAAGGAGGACTGGACTCGATGGGCTCCCGTCTGGTAGACTGGTTTGTCGTTCTCAAGGCCACCAGTGGCGGCGCAAAGCCCAAGAGGAAGCATCACAAGTACTATAGCAGTGAGTAGCACATTCCGTCTTTGCGTTCTTCTTTCGGCTATTAGTTTGATAGAGTCGGCACGATCGGAAGGGTGGTGATGTTCATGATACCGATTGTGTGAAGGAGGGCGGTATTCATGACGTCGATTTGTACGACTGATGATGCCAACGCCGCATCATCAATCAGACGTACAGACAGGCAGACGGATGGGACGATGATTGATGCTGATGATGGACCTACATGTCGTTGGCGCGCGAAGTCTTGCTGAGGTGATGTCGCGAAGTGTCCCCGCAACGCCCAGCTTGTTGCGCCGACACCGAACTCGCTGAGTCATGTGAAGACTCTTGCGACTCCGTTGTTGCCGGAGGCAAGGGATAGGACCTCCTGCCTCCCACGTGGCCACGTGGTCGTGGCCACGTGCCACTGCAGGGTGTTCACGTCCACGCAGCGCGGCGCTCGTGTTGACGGGCGCCGTTGTCCTGTCCGCCGCCACCGTCAGCCCGCGGTTCTGCCTCCAGCTCACTTCCCGTCCGACTGCAAGAAGATGGCCCAGTGGATGTTCCTGCACCTGGACACGGACGCCGACACGCAGCTGACGCAGCGCGAGCTGTTCGCGGTCGAGCCGACCAGCACGAGCGCTGCCTGAAGCCCTTCCTCGACCGCTGCGACCTCAACGTGTGAGTGAGGCGGCGAGCCGACCGGATCGCAGGACCGACATACCGGACGTCACCGGACAGAGCCGGACCGGACCGCCTCGCATCCTTCTCCTGTTGGGAGTTCGCCGTTCGCGGAGGTGTCGGTTCGGTATC